GTAGTTAGTAGTAGTAGTAGTAGTAGTAGTAGAGAGAGAGAGAGAGAGAGAGAGAGAGAGAAGAGAGAGAGAGAGAGAGAGNGAAGGAGAGAGAGAGCTCTACAATTCTGATGAATCATTGCAATGTTTACATTTTTTTACTGCCTTCTTCCACTCCATTATGATTACACGAAATTCTCGTGAAAAGCTATCTATTTGTATCACAGGAAATTAAGGCCTTCCATCAGAAGAGATAAGAAAATACTGTTGGGTGTTTAAGATTTCAATTTTAGATTAATTTCAGGTCTGTTCTGTGCATCTGCTAACGTAAACACATAGCTAACACTTCACAGTCACATGTCAATTCAGCTATGTAAGCTTGATTGCCTGAAATTGTTTGCTAGGATTTGATTTTTATTTCTCTTTTGAATTGAATTAACAAATTAACAAATATTAAATCAAATATTCTTGTATTCATACATTGGAGTAATTGACGCGTTGCGCCTATCACCAATCTTTTTTGCTTGGCTAATGCTCACAAATGTAAATAACTCTATATACATATGTACATTTGTTTTTTTTTGTCATTTACAGCTATTGCTTATTGTCACATACGTGATTATTCATTATTACCTACATGGTAATTAATAGTCACATACGTGATTGTTCATTGTCACATTCAAAACAGCGATATGTTGTGATCATCGATACTGATTGCATGCATATCCATTGGAATCTTTGGTTCTTTATCAGGATTTCTCTTTTTTTTTTATCTTTTAGAAACAAAAAAGTTAGTTTACCTTTCCTAACGTTTCTCATTTAAATTTTCAAATCTTTCTTTTGAACTGTTCAAAATCGATACAGCATAAAGAGATTGGTTGGAATTTGTATATTCATTGCATATGCAAATTGGAATCTTTGGTTCTTTATCAGGATTTCTCTTTTTTTTTATCTTTTAGAAACAAAAAAGTTAGTTTTTTTTTTCATTGCATATGCAATGAATTGGAAACGATTTTTCAATTAAATGAATGTTTAAAAAGAAATTATGTAGGCTAAGAGTTGTGTAAAATGGTAATTATTACAAAATATTTCAGTGAATGATACTGATAAATGTCGCCAAATATTCGAGCCTACAATTGTTTAGTACTTCTTATAATTCTGTGAACTGAAAAGCTCATTTCATTTCTGGTACTGCGCTCAGGGAAAAATGTCACTGTTACCAATGAAAAGTCTATCCGGTTCACTACCTGTATTATTTATTGAGGCACGTCTTCAGGGACCACCTGAAATTGTATTCTCTCAAATGGGTATTTCTTTTGATACCGACAAATGTAATATCGCTCTTCTCAGTAAGTCGCTTACTTTATTTTCCGGTGTTTCTCAAATTTCAAAGGTTTGAAAACAAATGTAGAATTTATAATTCGTCAAATAAATGAATATATTGGAATTAAACTTTCGAAGAACTTGCTAAAAGATAGGACAAGAAAATGATAAGGAGTATGATCAGCCACTAAACTAATTGAGATGATTTTTTTTGTTCAGTTTTAAGGCCGAGCTCTGCTGAATACCCATGTCGATTTTTTTTTTTTCAAGGGTGAAGGTTTGTAAGGTCATTTTGAAGTGTAATATTTATTTTGCAAATTTGTCATACATTACTATTTGATAGTACTATTTGATCGATGCAAATTGTTTTCTTTTTCAAATAATTCTTTTAAATAGAGCAAATTTTTTTTCTATTAAACAGATTGATCATTTTAAAATAACTTTGTATTGCATCATTCGGAAAAATCCTTGAAAAGGTCCATATAGTACTTTGATGATGAGAGCACCAATTAGCACTTAATAATTAATTTAAGTGGTAGTAAATAGTTTCATTTCCAATAAATCGTAAAGTGCCAAAGGTGAATATAAATGAAATTTGAGTTATAATTTTTGCTCCCAAAAAAACTAGTCTCTCTATGAAATTGCAGCTGTAAAACATGCTACAATGAGAATTATCGATGATCTAATTGAACTAATTGATTTCATTGCATTTTGATACAATTCAGTCATCGACAGGAAAAGCCCTCTCTCACGAACACGTTGTTCTTGAACGGGAATAATATCCGGCCAGAAAGTTTGAATATGTTTTAAGAAATAATAACTGAATCATAGCTTCTTTAAAGGCATGCAAGAGGCGCAGTAGTGTAGCTTAGTAGTGGGCTTGGACATTTAAATTAATGAATTCTGGGAGGAGATTGTTTCTTCAATTAGTTTAAACTGTAAATTAACAATTTAAGTTCTGAATCTATGTGTAATAATTTACTTATTGTGATATAGCATGCGAAAATCATAGGACGTGGACACAAATCTAACTATTCAATCTTCTCTCCCAATGGACGGGTACATGACTGATTCCCGAACATTCTCCATTTTGTCCTTTTAAATCTCTGCTGTACCATTCAGTATAATCCAATGTTTCACCGTCATATTTAAAGTCTCGAATTGATGCAGTGCTTGGAAGCTGATTTTTTGATCGTTTTTTAAATCTGTACAACATCTTTTAAAGTGAAAAATAGAGGTAAGCGGTGATAAAGTTTAACAATTCAATGATATGAAGTAGGCAATGAGTCATATCAATACTTAAGAAATACAATAGACTGTAATTATTTCATTCAATTCCTATTGCTTCACAATTTACTTTTCCATTTTTCCTGTCCTTGGCTGTCTTTTTTTTCAAATTGTCTGAATAGAATCATTTTGTTATTTGAAAGCTTTAATCTATTTCTTAAGAACTTTGGTTCCACACTGTTTTGGTAGTACACAATATGTTTAATAAAGAGGAAAAAAAGTATTTTCAGTTATTAAAATTGATTCGTCCCAAAATAGTTTTTGCATTGGTTAGACATTGGGCGAAGTATTGGTTAGTGACCAAAAAGATGACCATTAGCTTAGGTTTACTTGTGCATATGGTATTAGTAATATGGTATTAGTAAATTTAATTCAAAATTGAAGGAAAAACATTTATTCTATCTTTTATAACAAACATATTCAGTTCTGCTTCTGCTGAACTGAATATGTTTGTTATAAAAGCAGCAGAAGCAGTATTCGAATACTACAACATCTCTCACTCACTATAGTGATAAATTAATTACTCCTCTGGGAAAACAACTTATTCTCAAAATTCGAAAAGAATACAATGAAAATAAAACTACTGGAATTCATTTTTTTCTTGTAAATCTCCCGGTCATTTTTTCAATAAAATCTTTTTTAGTATCATTTGGATGAAATACTGATCGAATAAATTTAAAAATAAGGAATTAAGAAATCATTGATTCTTTGATGATGTATTTCTCAAAAGATCATATCCCCGTTTGTCTTTCAAAGACGAAATGAGACTTATAGATGACAAAATCAATAAACTTCTCTATTTTTTAGTCTTTGATGTTTTAACGGGAGGGGAAGAAGAAGATGGGATGCTTCATTTATTTTAAGTTAATTTAATCTATGAGGCGCAATTGCCTATAAGTTGCTCCTATACAATTTCCCTGTTATAAAAGCTAAATTGAAATTAAAACGTAAGCACATATATGTTCAAACTACCATAACATTAAATGCAGCTTTAGCAAGTTAGATCAAATCTGAACTCCTGCGATAGATATCGGGCTTAGATATAGAGTCTAGATTTCGTCATACAAGTTTGGAAGCTTCATTCATAATCAGATTTTAGTGCGCACAAGCGGTGTATTGCTGGTTGCTTCGGTTGGTTCTTATATGATGTATCGAGTTTGTGCGCGATTATTGGGAAGGAATTTCATTTGGACAATTTTGGAACAAGCACGTTTTGACTTACTTGCACGTGATGAAACGTATTTGCTGAATCCAAGAATGGTTGGTTCTAGATTTAGTTACGATGAAATTTCTCGAGCTACGAATCTTATAGTATTTAAACTCAGCGATTTAACTCACTCCGTTTAATAGTATTTCGAAGAACCAATACTTGAGTTTGGTATTATAGCACTCTGAATTCTATCATTATTTCACCTGATAATAGTAGTTCTTTATCAGCCTTGCCGTTTTGTTTCGTGATATTCCGCTGTTCTGAAATGGTTTTGATCACTGTTATTCCAATGAGCAAAAAATCATTTGTTATATCATTTTACACTTTCCTCAGCAAAAAATATGAAGAGATAAATAAGTTTGAAGAATATTTCTAAACTACTGAATTTTTCTTCATATTCTTTTTGGATTTCTGTTTTTCAGTCATACCTAACCAGTAATGAATATGATAGCTGTTGCTCAGGAGAGTTGACGAGTGATGAACAGAGCATTTGCGACAGTCATATCTTTACAACAGTACTATCTTCGGCATGCCTCAGATTTTATGACTTAAATTATGAATATCTGTGTAAAGTGATCGGTTAATCTTAATGCATCAATATTAATATATATGTGTAGTATGCTGCATTGAATTTTATCCATTCAGGGTCACTTGCGACAAGCAGATGGCTCAGCTGAAAATTCGAGAAAGCGATCAGATATGACTTCAGAGAAGTAAGTTTTCTAGCCATATTTTTAATATATGTCAGCAAATATGATATTTGCATAATGGTAAACAAAGGGTATTATCGAGCGATTATTGCTTACTTTTCGTTGTGGCTTCTTATATTTGACAAGTCTGGAGACATCACAATCGCCCAAATATGTCTATTGTTGAGACTTGCCAATACTTAGTTACTCAGTTTTCCTTATCAGTTATACTATATTGAACCTTAGCCAGCCAAGTGATATATTGAAGTGTTTTTTTGGCTTACTTGATCTTGCCTGTTGGACATATGTTTTCGATAAAGCAGAAACTCGAATAAATCTAGTTCTGTCGAAGCATTTTAAAAAATTGGATCCATAACTTTTCAGTCAGAATCATTCGGCGAGCATGACCTCACGAAGTTCTCATAATGCGGGATTTACTTCAAGTGAAAAGTCTGCCTCGTTACATCTACTTTGGGATGACCCTCAATGGGATGAGGAGACCGATTTCTGTCTTAATGGTATTTATTTATTTCATTTTCACTGGTTATAAGTATGCAAGAAAGAACTGGATTCATTATTCGGCCTCAATTAATGACTAGTTGCCCAGGAACTAGATTTTTCCATTTCTAAAAATAAATCATTCTTAGGTTAAATCAGTGCCCAATTATAGTAGCTGAATAGTCGGGAAGTCCTACTAAGAAGATTGGAGTTCAACTTTATTCTCAGACATAGATCATCATAACTTAATTGATATTGAGAGTGTTTTGTTATTATTGTATGCTTAACTCATTTCTGTGTTGATTGAAAAGCAATTTTATTTTGCTTCTCAATTTCTCAAAGCACTTTGATGTGATCGTGTTATCGCTTGATTACAGAGTCTCTTCTGAATAAGATTTTCCATTTCTGTTTGAGGAGTGAGAGCGATAAGAAGAATGATTCATTCTTTTATTTTTATGATTAATTTTTAGGAAGTAATAATGTTGAAGAAGCAGATAGTTTTTTGCTGCTATTAGGCAAATCGCTGAAAAATTTAGGAATTATGGGATGAAGGGTAATCTGTATCATAAGTATGTCTTAATTTAGAAACTTAAAAACTAAAGTTTATTTCTAGATGATGTACGTCGTGATTATTATTCAGTATCATCTGATGTTTCGGATATGACCGAATTTCGAGCTGCCAAAAGACTATTTGAAGAACCGGATGATCATTGCAATGTAAATAAAGAGGACCAAAGGAGTCATGAAAATGCAATTGGTTATATGCAGTTAGATTTAGTGGGTGGTTTCAGAAGTTTGGGTTGAATTTTTGAAGAAGAAAAACTTCTTATATGTAGTTAGATTGTGGTTTCTGGCCAAATTTACTTTTTATTTCATACTTTCTTGCTCTGTAGTTATTTTTTCTAAAAAATTAGGCACAATAAGGTTGCTGTAGAAATCAAAAAATTAAGATTGAACTTTCTAAACTTTTAAAGGGGGCTTTTATAGGTGCGTTCTCTTGTTACCTATCTATAGCCCATGACGGTTATCATTACTTGAGGTCTTTAGTGATTTTATATATACACTTTATCAGATGTTTCATTTTTCATCTTTATAAACTTCCAGCCAAATCGAGAAGAAAGAAATACTGATTTGGACGGTAATGATTTCATCCAGAAAAACTCTATGGTCGATTATAAGCATCTTTATCAAATTACTACTGGGTAAATTGGTTATCTTCACGGGACAGTCTCAGGTTTAAAAAAAATTTTTCGTAATAATACGAGACTGTTTCCATTTATGTCTTTGAACTGGAGATAACCTTAGGTTTAGATTAGAATTGTCTTGCAGATTTACGACTCGAACCAACAGTATATCACTATCGAGCGAACGTAGTTCTCAGTCATTTCCGTCTTTGAGACAACGACTAATTGCTAATGCATCATCGGGTGGGTAAGTGCTTATTGAGTTCTTTTCTTTTTAACTTGAAAATCATACCTTTTAAGTTTGGATGAAATTCAGCATAATCGAAAAGGGTGGTTGCAGACATAGGAAATTGCTATTTATCGGGATATTTTCATATCAAAGGATACTCGACATTTCTCGTACACCAGTAGTATCTCATGAGTATAAATATTAAAGTACAAGTATTCATTAGAAATAATTGAAATTTTTAGACTGCTTGAATTGGTGCAGTCATCCATTACCTCACCGATATCATCAGTAGATCATGTGATAACGTCGATGACTGATAGTGGTATCAGCAGAGGAACCATTTCAACGCTGGATTTGCAGTCATCCATTAGGTTGCTCATTTCAATCATAATTTCTTGAAATCGGTTATGCTTCTTGGAATGGAGCAGAGAGACTTTTAAAGAAAAAAAGACTGTTTCTGCAATTAATTATAGTGAGTCAGGTTAGTTAATAATCAACAAAGGTTGAAATGGTAGTCTGAGGTTACTGCATTGTTAACTGTCACGAATGATTAGTAGCTACGAAAATCCTAAAGAAAACAGTATTATTTTATTTACCCTAACTTCTAACTTTTTCTCCTAGTTCACGAGTCTGACCTTTTACAGATTTAATTCTTTTCTCTTCATAATTATTCGTGAATATGAATAGTTGTGAATATTGTCATTGTTATCTGTTTTTAAATCTTACTATCTACCCGCTTGATTTGGCTTATATTATATCGTATATTAGTATAGATCAGCTGGTGCAAAAGGTACTTTTGGAATAGAGATATTGTCGAACGAAGTTGATGCTCTCGATATGATGGTGCCGTGTACATTGACGACAAACAGAAATTCTGTTATTGGGTAAAGTTTGCTTGTATTTCAGCGGTGGACTGATTAGTGATATATATAATAAATTCAAAAGTGATTAGCTTACAGAAAGAAACGAGAAGGAAATACATGAATAAATTTAAACGGTGTCAGATGATTGTCAAGATTTCAATGATGACATAATTGGGACCAGATTCAAATAAGCAGTATATTATGAGCCGTATTTGAGAGAATAATATTTAGCGTTGTGGGACTTGCAGGTGCATTAGGACGTCGCACTGAACTTCCAGTACTTCCGCTAAATATCCTACAGGAAGTCAGATAGTTTGGGAACAAAGAGATCTGGCATAGTACAGCTATATTTGATCTTTTTGCCTTTACCCGGGAATCTCTAAGTCAGCAAATTAATAGTTCAAGTCTTTACTTTGGTTGTATCGGTAACTACACGTTTGGAAGTTTGGAGGGGATGGCATCTAAATTGTAAACTACCGATTAAGCAGAAAAAATTGTTGTCATTTGCTTTGGATATTCTAAAAAGTTTTATCCGCACTATAATAAAAAGTAAGTGCATTATTAAAGGTTGTCATGGAATCAGGAAATATAAATTGATTTGTGGTACAACGAGTATATCACGCTATAATTTCCTAAGGTATAGAAATGATGCCAAGACAGTGGAATACCGAAAAAAAAGTGCTATTTAATGTTTTTAAGGAGGAATAATTTAAATCTGATTAGTGAGGACCGTTGCTCAACGGCGACATCCGCCCGAAGTATGGAATGGTTCGAGGATGATTACTGTTCGTTTGTCACAAATGAAAATTTGAGGAAATCACTAGAAACAGATATGGATAATCCATTAGCTGCATGCTTCAGTCGTTCTGGATCTGATCAGGTGCCTTTCATTGGACAATTATAAATTACTTTTTAAATGTTCATTTTCCAGAATCTCTGAGTGTATTAGTTATCAGAAGGACTTTGAATTTAGTCGAGATAGTGGTCCTTTGAAATGGGGCAATCAGTCGATATCGGTTACCGTTTGATGCATCTTAGATGTTGTAGTTCGAGGTCTTCAACTTCTTTTGAAATTTTAATTCCCTATGATTTTTGTCCCGGACAACAGGATGGTTTTCTTTTGTAGCATCCTATGCTTCTGTGGGATAAATTTGACAGATGACATAGTACGGATGAAGGCAAGCAACGTTAGCATTCACGGGGAATACATGAAGTGCTTCATGGTGACAAAGATTGAAAAGTAGTTCGAACTAGGTAGATGAGAATCATCGGTTTAGTCAAGAAGGATTAATAGATGGATTGACGCACGAAACTGGGTATCTTTTATTTTTTTATTCTTTTTTTATCTTTTACTGGGTATCTTTTAAACGAAATCATGGGACAGGAAATAGTTCAGGAGTCAAAAATTAAGAGATATGAATTAGTTCCCTGAGGCTACTTAATAATGGTGTAACATCTGGAACTTGAACTAGGCTCTTTTAGATACGTCCGAGCAGCTGGGAAAGTAGACGAAAACATCTACACAATTTCACACGAGATCTAATGGCTTGGGCAAGAGATCAACTTGCCCCTAAATCTCCTCAGATGAAGGTATGAATTGTTGACTATGAAGTTTAAATTCTTAAATTTTAAGGAATTTCGACTAGCTGAATAACGTGTTAACAATGGATACAATTTGAGGTTCTCTCCTCTCCAGTTTTACCTATTTCTAATTTGGAAAGGATGGAAAATCATGCTGATAATTTACTCGTTAAAAGTTGGTTACCACAAAGAGAGAAAGAGAGAGGGAAAAAAAAGAAATTATTGGAGACTTATACATTTTAATGATTGATTTGTTCCTAAGCGAAAACATTTTAGGCTCTTCAATCATTATATGTATCAGATCAACGTTGGCGAAGAATAGGGTTAAAGCGAAGTTCGAATTGTTTGGAACAATTCCTCAGTTCTCTATTACATTTAATGTTCATACGTGGAATACCATTTCTTAGCTGCTCGAATGCGTTGATCGCTGCAGAGGTTTCACCTTTGACCTTTAATTTAAATTACTTTGAATAATTGACCTCATGTCTGAAAATCTGTTTATCTAGAACAGCTCTTATTGAATTGTGGGATAAGAGAGAATCGCTATCTTGTTGATTAAATCCATCTCAAAGTGATTGATGAAAGCTTTCTGGTCTTCAACCAAAGATGTGCAGAGGATGAGACGATGAATACTTCATTCAGTCCTAGATGTTATCTATGCATCTCTTCAATCTCATTAAGCAGCATTTGAGCTATCTAAATAATTTTCATAAATCGATATCGATATATAGATTTTATTTTTCTATAGATATTTAGGTAGCACTTTTTTAATGGCACCAAATGTCAGTTTCAAAAGCTGGATTTGGGTTATTGATTTATTCCTAAATTCTTTTTTCTCATCTCTTTTTTCACCTTTCACATTACCATGTATAGAGAGCATAGCGGAAGGATTATTTTTATTTGTGTAGCTATGCCTTCCTTTATTGTAACATATCTATTATAACATAATACGTAGTAGCGATGCCTGTTGATGTCTCTCAAGGTAAATTTATATCGCTTGAAACCTTCACACAGTATATTATCTAGTGCGGTACTTTTATCACTCTCAATATCCTTCTGTTAGGAAGCAGTTCCTTTCAAAAATCTTTCCTTGAACAAATTTTGTTATTTAAGAATAGGTTTCATCTAAATTTTACAATGCAGTAGCTGTAGAATTAAAACCTCACATTCTTTTCCTTCATCAAACTTCTTTATACTTTGACCCTACTTCAAGTTATTTTATCCATTTGTATAGGATATACTGTTAGTTCTTATCTCAAATCATTTAAAATAAATTAGGAACGAGAAATTTTCTCCACTCGGCTATTCAATTACCTCTTCATTGATGGTGTTTCATTTGACTACAATATTACCGGACGAGTTATCCTACTCCGGTAATTTAGCTTTTTGTTACCATTTCGAAATAATGTGGAAAATAAGTGGAAAACCAAAGATTTTCTAATTTCTGTAAATGCAAAAGTCTCTGTCGGTTTGAATGATCTCAGTCGTCTAGGTGTTTGAAATCCCTTGCAGTATCCAAATTTGATAAATTGAGAGATTCTAAAATTAAAAGTGCAAAATGTTAATGTCAAAGTTTATGAAAATTCTACCGCCTTATCTTAAAAAAAAAATTCTACCACCTTATCTTAATTCGTGTTATTGGCATTTTTCGAAAAAAAATATTCAGGGTAAAATTTGGCTGTCCAGCAAATATTTCGTGTGTAGTAATATTCGTTGATTTTGACATAATCTGGCTTTCCATTTTTTCTACTTCACAAATTACATTTCCTTTATTACAGGACATAAAATGATAACTGCATTTAAAGTCATATTAGCAACATATAAAATTACATTTTCATTAATGAGTCACAAGTTCATTCCAAAGCTGAAATTTGCCTCAGCTTTCCACTTATTATTTTATAGTTTTTATGACGATTGCCAACGTCATCTTCAAATTTAATTCTAATTCTTTCATTGCTTTGGTTGAATCTTTCGATTTGATTAAGTATTTCTTGTAGTTGTTCTACTAGACGCCAGCGGAACGACAGAATGACACATCTCAAGAAATGTCATATACACCGTAGATTACCTCCAATAATTCAGGATTGAAGTCACAAAGTTCAGTTTATCTATGTTTTATCTATTTCCCGATTAAAGTGACAGGAAAGTCTTGAGACTTTCGAGAGATTACTTATATCTCAGACTTATTAATTAGTCGATTCATTTACTAATCAAATAATGTTTACTTCTGAACCAATGAGATGAATTTTAGAATTTTGGCTTGTCGCCTAAAAATCTCTGCATTATTCATAAGTGAATGGAAAAGAGTAATAACATTTTGCAAATGGAAATTATTTCTTCTTTCCTATTAGACGTGTCAAGCTGATTTTATTTGGATGTAATTTCTTTTCCAATAGATTATGACCAAGTATATTCAATAATTACGTGATGTAAAGGTAATTTTGATGGCTTTTGAAAAGGTCGATATTAGCAGCATGACTTGAGAATATAAACAGAGTTTTTTTTACTTTTTCATATGAAATTAATCACCATATGAATTTGAAATTTTGTCGAACAAATTGGTCATTTTTCAGATTTTTTTCCGGGTAGGTTAGTGTTAACTAAGTTGTTAACAAAGCTACTTTCACTTTTTTTGCATGATGTTATTCAGGCAAAAATCATTGTCACAGAAATTAGTTTTGCAAAAGGATATTAATAGATTTGGTGCACTTGGACGTTGGAAGTATAAGTTGAAACTTATATTCGATTGGCATTATAAGAACCAGTAAATAGTCCGTATAGGTACCATTCTCTTCCATTCAGCAGGGAATGAAAACTTGATCATACCTTTTCTGTATAGTTCTATTTCTTCCTGATAAATGATTAGATATAAAAGGTTAGAGGAGCGATTAAATTTACACTTGTGAAGGTCTTCACTTCTTTTTCTACCCCTGTTCTAAAAAAATGCAAAATGTTAAATGGTTTATAGCAGATCACTGTTAAATAAATTAAAGCATTCTTATGCTATCTTTCGAATTTCCGGATAATGTTCATTAAAAACTTTATTCGGAAAGTGAAATGATCAACCTGAATAGGCAGTAAATAGTTCACAACACCGAAGAGACTATCCTGCTGCACTAAACACAGAAGATTTGATGAAGAAACGCGAACTAAATTTGTTCGAAAATTTTCTGCTAAATGAACAACAAGCTAACAAATAAACAAAACAATAAACTCTGGATGTGTGCTTTGCCAAATGAGATCGCATTAAGTTGGCCAGTAAAATGAAAAAGAAAGTCAGGATAATGATAGAAGCAAACTTTGAATTACTTGATACTGAGACAACAGTAATTATGATCAGTAAATAGAAATATTTTGTAATATTTGCAGATCTTTTAGAGAGAAAAGTTGCGAACAAAATGCCATCAACAATAGAAAGTGTCACAAAATGCAAAACAAAAGGTCAAAAAGCAGCACTCCAATAAGATTACCATACAATTCACTGCCTAGTTTTATCCTGTTAGTAATTGATAAATTACTGTATTGAATCATGTCAGAATAATAGTAAGGATATGAAATTGTGCTGAAAGCGTTTCTTATGCAAAATTCATTTGAAATATTTCAAAAAGGAACAGTTTCCGGGAATTTGAAAGTTCGGTTTTGAAACTGCTAGGTGCTAGTAATATTTCTGAGTTTTCTTCTTGTGTGAAGAAAATTTTGTGGAATTCTGAACAGTTGGAAGTTTGAACAACTTGTTGTCTATGTTTTTTTTTCTTTTAAATTTACCAACAATTGATATGATATGAAGAAAAAGAATGGAAAACAGGAATGAAATAATTAAATATTCTTAATTCTTTTTTTTTCAGTTCTTAGCACTGCTGCTAGCGTTATCCAGTTTGATCGTCTTCAAGTAGTTGCTAAATGTAGTAGCACTGTTACAGCGATCATAGCTGCAGATGCATCGAAAAATGAATTCTACCGATTCTGATGGATCGATGACGCTTTTTGGGTTTAGTTGACCGAAATCATATTTCTGAAAAGTGAAAGGGAGAAATGATAGAAAGACTCAAATTGTGCACTGTTTTTTTTTGGAGTGGAACTACTATTGGCCCCGATTCATTGGTACTTTGCTCTCATCCATCACTGATTATTGGATTGAAGTATCGGTGTAATAGTAGGCCATTTAAAAGATCAACTATCACAAACCTCTAGGAGGCAAATGGATAGCACTTGATATATTTTGTCCGATGTACTAAATGCTTCGTCGTACGCTTTTGTCCAATCTGCTTCTGGACCAACACCGAACACTCGGCCTTCTTCATAATCCGGGATGAACACGCAGTAATCCCAGGATTCATTTGATATCTCGTATACTTTTCCCTGAGCAGCAAATGAGAAGATTGATCATTTTAATCAAGGCTGGTTAGAGTTTACAATTCAAGTTTTATCATTTAACATTTGATTTGAAATAAATTACATCAAATTTATGGTCATTAATTAAAACACTCACAGATTCATCATTTTCATAACAAACCAGAGCATTCGCATTAGCTGTTAGCATCACTATTGTGACTACCCTAGCAAATAGTGTCACTGAGACCATGGCACTCTCGCTGCAACAAGGAAGTTTAGATGAATAAAGAAATTCAAATTAGTCCCGAAGCACGGAGAAAACGAAATAATGGAAGGAAGTTTTCCAGGTGGAATAAGTGGGCGGATACAGACTTGATATTTAGAGAAAAGGAAGTAAATGAAATTTTACTGGTAAACGGAATTTCGGATGGAACAGATTGAAGAACTCATCCTTTGCACTTAATTTTATTATGCTTCAATATGGCTTAGTTAATTAACCGATCAACTAGTGGGATTGTTGTAATATGGTCTGTAGATTTATTTGTAATCTTTGGTTTACCTATTCAACCATCGTCATTTATGTTAACAAGTGCTCATTCTTACCGTTTGTAAGCTCTTATTTACAAATGAAGGATATCACAGAAAGACGGAGAGGAATGGATGATTTGAGAACTCTCAATTAAGACACTGCGGGATAAGTGTAAGGGGAATATTTTTCTAGTCTGCGAACAAGGATAGCTTGAAATGAACAGGCATAATACATAATTTATGAACAATTTCATGCAGAAAAAGCAAGCAAAAAAGCAATCAGAGTTGGTTGTAGGTTTTTGTTCAACTGGAAAAAACATTTTTTTTCCTCTCTTTTCTGGATAAGAAGGAATGATTTGCGAATCTTGCAAAATGATTTATGAAGTAGTCGGAGTAAAAAACCACAATAAAAGCTAATTGTGTAAGATCTACTACTACTACTACCACTACCACTGCTACTACTACTGCTACCACTACCACTTCTACTACTGCTGCTAGTACTACTACTATTAGTACTAGTACTACTATACAGTGAATGCTAATATTATGATTATCCATACTGTTGCAACTAGCGGAACTACTTCACACCATCTCTTAACAGTTATTCATAAATTACTCTTCTTATCACTTGTTGCAGTCGTAGCAAAAATTACATATTGTTGTTACTGTAATAATAATCCTCTCACCGGTAGCAAAACATCTTTTGGAAATATTAATATTTATTGTTTCACTTTTTGCTACCGCTAACGTTTGCAACCTTTCGTTATACATTTCGAACATTCCTATTCATTTCATCTTACCTCTCATTTGCCTTTTTGCTAAATGACTGTTTACAGATTGGAATGTCGAAGTCATGAAGTGTTGCTGTTATAATGATGTGAGACAGATAAAAATCTTCTAGCCTTTAATTGTCATAATCTGGAAAGGTGGTCGTTGATTGATTTGTACTTAATCTTTATGATCTAAAAATGTACTTAATTCCTTAGTAGAATGAACTTATTTAAGCAGCATGCACCTATTTTGGTCCCATTTTGATTTGAGGTAACATTTGTAGTCCATAAATATCCGCGAAATGAAAAGGCTGCTGGCTTGCCAGTTTGAACAGATGGAAGTTGCAGTTCGAGAGTCAGTAATTCATAAGGACTGAAATGATTCACTGAGAAATGTCAACATTCCACGACGTACCAGAAACCAGGAATGTACCCAATAAAAGGGCGATTGGTGCTTGTGTCCCCCTCCTCCTCATCATCACCTACAGGAAATCCTGCTCCGCCTATAGCTTTGGCTCCGAAATGCCACGCCTCTAACTTTTTCTCTCACTTATCAAGATTTAAAAAATATCTTACGTGATTAGATATTCTCTACTATCATATCCACTGATAAAGATAATGTGTGGACAGGTCACTCTAACTGATCCTTTTATTTGTTTCTTCCATTAAACATTAATCGTTTCAAGTTAAAATTTGGATTCGCTTAATAGTATTACTCTTCCTTATTCCTTATTCCTTATTCCTTTCTCTTTGATCATTTCTGTTTAACAAATATCGTCATGAAGACAGACATGTATCGAGAACTGGCTGTTCGTATGATCATTTCGCATAATCCAGACATTGTTTGAATGAAATTGACAACGACCAGTTAATTAGTTTGGAATGTTTCGAATTAATTAGAAAATTTATTGAGAAATTAATTTAAATGGCGAAACAAGATGATGAAGCAGTTGAAAAAAAAGACATCGCTTAACTAGAGAATCAGTAAAAAATCATTTAGAAGGTGTAGCAGAAAGTCATCCATAAAGCTGTTGCCAATGAAAAGGGAATAATTTATTAGTACTCAAAAATGAGATCTTCTCTACTTGAATTTAATAAAAATATTAATTACTTTTTGATCGTCACAAATAAAAATATTAATAAATTTAACGCAAACAGCAAATATCAAAGTAACGTGAGATATCTGCTATGCCTTGTCAAATCCAAAGAGAGATATCCTAAGTTAACTTGATTTATTATGCACGTTAATATAAAATATTAAATTATCTACGTTTCGCATTACTGATTGATGACATACCGGGATCACTTATTTCCGTGAATAGTAGACGATCCTGTTTGGACTTATCTCAGCTTTAAGTCGCATATTTCCGTTTTTGTGCACTCTGCTGACACGGGGAATTTGTCTTTTATTTATTTCCTCTTTTTCCAGATTATGAAAGAAAGAAGTGTAGCTGTAGAAAGTTCTCATATTTTTATATTGCACGAGATTTAGGGAAAAGGAAAGAAGTATTTCTTACAGAAAACCGATAATAAATGTTGAACAAAAGAGGTAAGCGATTGGGTAAATAAGAAGCTGGTAGGATACATCTTGGCATATATGGTAAGTAGACCGATAAATGGTGATGAATTAGTAAATAAATAAGGAATTAAATATTCACTGATGCAAATAATAGCATAGTTTATTGCAATACTAATATTTCCAAAAGTTTAGCTCATGTTAAAATGCTTCTTTTTGTTACATTTTGAAGATAGAAATACTGTTTGTTCGGTAATTTTGAATGAATAAAAGATTAAGAAATGTTTATTGTCATTATTCTTGGATTATTCCCTTTTTTTCCAATTTTTTTCTGCAATAACGAGGGGAAACATCCTTCCTTTCTACTGGCAGATGGAGATCAGCAAATGAATTCTGCATGATTCTTGCGTAACACTTGCTACTTAGCAAATGATATGCAGCTGCGAAAAGAAATCTATATAAATTAGAAAAAAAGAATGTATATGTAGACCAGTTTAGTCTTTCGTTACATTTAAAAAATAATTCGAAACTTCAAAATATTTTTGAAGAGTTAAAAAAAGATTAGACGTGCAAAAAAATATTAACAAATGTGTAATGGCATGTCGTTTGTTATAATACATATGGAAGAAAAAAGAAATTAAATGATATTTTTTAAAACGGTCATGTCTGGGAGGCTAGTGAGTATTCGAACACAAAGTTATGCAATGACAATTACACCATTGTAATTATAATAAATAACTATGATTGGGATTATTATTTTGAAGGATCATCACTGTAATCATTGTTTTTTACCAAGATTAATATTCACTTTTCTTATTTTTGAAAAAAAGACTTCAATAAGTTCGGTCCTTTTGAATTATGACTTCCTATAATATGTTTAACTTTTCCGAATCATAACTCTTTGTCTTATTATACCATCGATTTAGATAATAAATTTTAGACTTTTCTCAAGTATCCCAAAGCATGCTATAAAATATGAAATGAAATTTAATATCACACATTTCATTATTCGTCATCAAAAGATTTCTTCAATCCATCATTTCCAGGCTGTCCGACGAGTCTTTTCACGCTATGAGTTTGTACGGCAATGGAGTTTCACCGATGGATCCACGAAGGTCGAAAATAAAGAAGAGTACGCGATCAGCCTTTTGCAAAATCTATGGGATTTGGTATGTTATGAAATCTACGGGATTTGTACAACTCTTTAAATTCCGGTTGAGAATTGAGGCTCAAAACAAACATCATTCAATTCCTTTTTCTTTTCCTCATCTCAGCTTTTCCGCAAATGTATAATTCAAATAAACGAGCGCCTGTCTTTCTTCCAAACTTTGTTTCCCAAAAATGAACCTGAATGGCCAGTCCGACCAAGTTTCATCTATTATTAATATTCAATCTAAAATCAAGTGTTATCTCGTATTAAATTAAATTTTTGTCGAATTTCTTAGTCTTTTTGAAGAAAAGTTTTCTATTTAGTTTCAGCAGTCGTGCACTTTGTGAGACTTATTCTAAATTCAACTGTCCATTTAAATGCGGATTTGAATCCAGAAATTTCCTCAATATTCATAACCTAATCGTAAGAGTAGTTCCGCAGTCGCTTCCGTTTCTTCTTTTTCGTTTTCTCTCCTTTTCCTCTCTCTCAAAAGTAGAATAAATTTCGTCTTTATCTAAAAAGGATTCAACTAAACTATATTGTTCATTTATTTAAATTATTTTCACTCATTTACCCTTCAATGAAAGAGAAATATGAACATTTCATTAAATACCCAGGGACATCAAAAAACTATATTCATCCAGAAAGGGTATTCTCATTCCTTTTAGTGAAATATCAAACTCTTTATTTCATGCACCCACGTAGTTACCAAAATTTTTTTTGACAATTCGAGTGGCGTGTAGATGGACAATAAAAAAAAAAAAAATGGATAACTGTTAGATAAAATTCAAATGGATGATAAAGCGGTTGTTATGTTCTAATGATCGGATACATCCAGAGCTATGCTTGCTATGAAGACTCACTATGCTGAATATATGGACAGTCTCAAAATTCTTACTTATCATAAAAACAGTACTGGTGAAACACCACGTTGAAAGTTTAAATCGTCGAGCGTGTAAAGTCAGGTTTCTATAAAAATTTTGTACTAGAAAAGTTCTTCGTTGACGTATTTTTATCATAATTTAGTGTGGCTGAAATGTTGGAAAAAGTGCTTGAATTTGTATTCATTGATGATTATATTATATTCGAATAATTTATTTGAAAAAAGGAAGAGAAACTGTTATGCAGTGTGATTTGTTTAATTTTAACAAACATTTCTCAGGACTGATATGTTCAATATAATGTTGCTTACTAGAACATTTCTTTGATCCTGTTTCATACACAGTTTCTTGTTCAATATGTCGTTTAAACACTTTCTTATCATATTTCAGTACGTGATATATGTATTGGCTGGTATAGAACTCTTCTTATTTCTCTTTTTCGACAGGAAAAGAAAGGAAGTTTGTACTGCGAATGCGTATAGTATTTAGACTGTCTAAAGTTCAGTGACAAAGGGTTTGGCTACTGTTGTCAAGATGTAGATTGGACACGATAATCGATCATCTTTCAAAAAAGTGCCTCATAGTGCCAGCCTTTTTAACTAGCCACTTTACTTAATTTAAACATTGATTGAAACGATAAATTCCTTGTCTTGTCATTCCACAAATTTCTCATTTTGAGCACTAACTTCATTACAGAATTTCTTGGATTTCCATTTTTTCATTCAGCTCGCTTGATGACGACAAGGACAAATAATCAAAGTTTAAAGGAATTGTCGTTCTTAGCATTTATCAGTTCTTCGAAATACATTTTAATTTCAGTATTCCTCTGTTCAAACTTATTGCATGCATCTCAGAATTCATTTTTTATATTTCTCATATCTTAAATGATTGGGACTTTTTATTTTACTTTTTAGTCATAAAAAAGGTAGCGATATTGTAATAGTAATACTGCAAAATTTTTCGAGCAGCAGTGATTTTAAAAATTAATCGTTGAACCATGACCCTTATATTTAATTTCAGCGTACTTTTTTCAAAAATTATTGCTTTTTTATCTTTCCAAAAACTTTTATTTCAAAAGTTTTTTTGTTTACCAGATTTTTAGAAATCTCAGTTCATTGTTTTTAAAATTTTATTCTAAATAAGATTTCATTTCAAATTGAAGAGAAGAAAAGTAAATGTTACGTAAATGCATAATAAGTGGACATCTGGCAAGCTGAATTTAGCAACTTCATTTGTGAATTAATTTTCATTCTTTAATGTAGTAACGATTTTCTTTTTTTTACAAAGATGATTCATTTGCTTTGCTTTTCTTAATCGTAGTGTCAACTCTTCTGCTCATTGATGCAACTAGGACTTCTGATTTGGTAAGATGTAATCTATAACATTTAGTATTGTTATCATCCTATCATCAAATAATATCACTCATGCGTCTAACATTCACATATTCATATATCATCACAAAATGTATCATTTTGCAAAAACTTTATAACCAAATCGTGTAATCTTCCAATATTCTCTATGCAATGATAAGATTATTAGTCGTTTTCTGAATCACTTTATACTTCTAACGAATTTAGACATGGAACTTTTGTTGTTTATCAGCTTATTTATCTTTCACTTTTCTAAGACTTACTAAAACCATTGAGAATTAAAATGCTGATTACTGATCCAAAACTTCTGCAGATGGTAGCATGCTAAAAGATTAAAAGATTTTTTTGCTAAAAGATTTTTTTTGTTAGAAGATTTTTTGCTAAAAGATTTTTTTTCAAAAAATTCAAATTATTCGATTCGTGTTAAAATCTTCGACGGATTTTGATTAGTTTGAAATTTTCAGCAGCATGGTGTCGTATATTTAAAAGACGAAAGAGTTGAACGTCATTGTATGGAAGCGGTTCGATTGTTAGTATTACTTTGGATTGTACACTGTTTCGAGAAAATGGAAGCAGGACAATGGCAGCAGCATTGTCCAAGCTTTTATACTGAACTTTTCGGCGATAGCAATCCACGACAAATTATCCAAAGCTTGTACAAAGCACAACTAAACGATGTAGATCTTTCATTATTAGACTATAAATTACTGTGCTTATGTGTGTTATGCGGTACAAGGTGGAAATTAGTGCTAGTTGGTTTTTGAGATTCTGAAAAGTATGACTGAAGTTCGAGTATTTTTTCGTTTGTATTTGATATATTTTTTTTTACTACAAACATTTTTTGGTCAGGTCCAAATGACGCTTCTCGCGGATACGCTGAGGATACGACTCGAACTGTTAGATTATAGCTATGGTGATCTGGATGCCGAACAACCTAAAATACTGCGAAGTTTGGTGCCGCAAGATACAGGAAGAGAAATCACCTCTGAGCCTATCCTTACATTTCTAAAATTAAACCGTCATAATTTCCTGTATCCGTTGTATCATAGTTGGAAATAAATTATTCTTTTTAGTAAATGTCTCTCTGAATTACTTGCTGTAAGAAATGTGCGGCTTTATCAACAAAAAAAAAAACAAAAATTCAAGAACATGACATTTGTTACATCTAATCGGTCATCTGGCAGAAGCCTAAATCAGTCATCCGGTAGAAGAGACTCACCCTGTCACCTTTCATATGCTTGACCTTGGCTGGGAGGATGTAATCTTTTCTTCCGAAGGTCAAGTCAATGCGATGGTCGCGTCGTCAAAACTTCATTTCTGAAAGTTATTCTCAGGTCTGTCCGATATTCTCAAGATTTTTCTGATGATTTAGAGATTATTTTCTTTGAGAATTTTGCAACTAGTCATTCCGAAGTAATCCGAAAGTTTATTTTCTCGAAAGTCTATTTTTTCGAAATGACAGCATGTATTGAAGTTAATGTTGCGACGTAAGATACGTATGATCTTGAAGTCTTGAAGTTTACGTTTCACTATTGGAACGTTTATGTTAGTTTGGTATTGAATGCCAATTTTTATCATTTGGTGTTAAAGGATCTAAACAGAAAATGAAGCATACACCTTCTTTAATTTCTTTTTCCATTTTTAAATCAGGGAAGTTGCCCAAATGTTAACTTCGAAGTCCGGGATATTATTGGCTCAATTCAACTTTGAGCCATGAATGTCGAAAATGGCTTGCATTTTCATTTTGGAGAGTTATCATGTGACATAATACTTCCGTGAGTTGGTTGTGGTTATGTCTGGTCATTCAGTTTTTCTAGCTACGGTATTTGATGTCTTGTGTGTGCTGATTTGAATGATATAAGTATGGAATTTGGGGAGAGGGGGCGGGAGGGTATTGTAATTTGATGCCTTGATAAAAGGTTGGACAGTATTGCTCTGCGAAATCGAATTTTTTTGAATAATTTATAAAATTAGTTTTCTCCCTCAGGGAGTTTTATTCTGCTTGAAATACAGCTTAAACGCATGATGTCAGATATTTCAATTTATTTTCTAATTCAATATCATTCATTAGATTTCTGCTAGAAATATTGCAGAAGTTCCCAAATAATAGGGACGGGGGAGATCGATCGATTGGAGGAAAAAGAAGGGGCATCTTTTGATTGTTGAAGGGTCCGTTCTTGTCGTAGTGTAATTTTGTGCATTATATGTTGGAGAAGATAATTACACCGTTACTTTGCTAATTTAAATACAATAGATGAATACAAAAGTGATGGCCTATCTAGATGAGTCCTTGATGCACTGTTACAATGGAAGTACAAATGCGCTTACGCAGCACTTGTTTTCCCGCTGTTTTTTTCAAATTCAGAGTTGAGGATAAGGATGAAATAATGTAATGGGTTGCTTAATACAAATGAGTATTTCTTTTAACTACAACAGACTTCTGAAATCTTCCATCTGAAGGCATGATAACAGTAAGAACAACAATAACACAAATATGATTAGCTATAGCCATCCACCTTTATTGTGAATAACAAATCAGGAAATGAATAATTTAACAAAGATTCTGCTTTTTCTTTTAAAAAATTCACAAGAAGATTTTCAGAATTTGCTTAGTGAATCATAGTTTTGGAGAAGTTTAATTTTGGAAATATCAAATTTCTTTGAATTTGTCAAGTTAAGTCACGACAGTAGTACTAATTTTTCAAATTGATGTTATTTTCGAGAGATCCAATTTCGAAGGTAACATTTGAATATTAGGGGAGCATGAATTTTTAAAGTACGGCATATTTTTTCATGCATATTTTATGTGGATGTAGAAAAGTTATTTGGTTCTATTAATACATGGCCACTTTTTCTGACGCAAATTATTCATTTTTTTTTGATGCCAGCGATTGGATATGTGGTATCCATTTGCCAAATTTCTGATAAATGAGATTTCACTTTAGTAAAGAAACATCTCTTTTTTTTTGTAAGAACATCAGGCTTAGCTTAACCGTTGAATTGTATTACTTCAGTGGCAGATTTGGTGACTGTCATCATTGATAGGATTTGGACAAGGTTAAACCACGGTGTCTATACAATAAATCAAGAGTGATTACATAAAGTTAGTACTTATTGCTTCATTAAAAAATCAATACTCGCATTGTTTATACAATAATTAAAGTATACATTTAACAAATGTCAAGTCAGATTGAATGAATTACAGCACCTTTATGTAGAATCCAAAGCATGAGTATAAATATTGGAAGACGCACTGAAATCAACAGGAAAACCAAATGAGAATGGCGCAAGGATCTTCGAAATTCCACAGTCTGATGGACAATACATGGCTGGTATTCCAGGTTCTCCTGGAGGACCCCATGGTCCCTTCTCGCCGTATCCACCGGTCTAAAATAGAACTATTGAAATATAATCTATGCAGCTTAACAAATTAGAAAAAGATAATAAGATGTAAGCAGAAAATAACTGTAGTATTCACATTTCCTTGTAGTCCAGGTAAACCAATCGGTCCTTGCTCTCCTTGCTTGCCGGGAATGTTAGATCGTCGACCTGGTATACCTTGTGGCCCTTTGGAACCTCCAGGTCCAGGTAAACCTTTTGGTCCTTTAATACCAACACCCGCTAAAATTTGACTCAATTGTGAGATCAAAACAAATAGTTCACTGATAAACCAACTTCAATTAATCATCAGCTGAACAATATGATAGTATATTTTTGTTCTCTAATGGTCAAGAATTCATTTTCTTTTTTTCAATTAATAAAGAAAACAAGCCCACTACAGAGACATGTCTAAATCACAAACAAATTCGTTGGGAAAAAAGTAAATGTACTATTAAACATACCGAAAGTATCATCGCCAGATACCCCTGGAGGTCCAACTGGTCCTTCTTTTCCACATGGTCCATCTGGCCCAATATTTCCAATTGGTCCATTTCCACCTGGCTTACCAGGTCGACCTGTAACTGCATTAAATTTCCATGTAATTTTAACGTAAGGTAAAAAGTGCTTGAGATTTGTTCGAAGGTCATAATTTCTTTTCATGCCTCTTTTTCTTCCACGATCCAAGATTTCCGTAAAAAAATATATAAAAACTGACCTGAAGGACCAGGAGAGCCTGGAGGACCTGGTCGGCCACGCTCCCCTTGTGAACCGCGCAAACCAGGTGGTCCAGCTGGGCAAATAGAACACGGGAGATGAAATAATAGTGGTTGAGCCATAACATCTTCACCATCAGTACCAGGTATTCCCATTTTTCCAGGACTACCCGGAATCCCATCAACTCCTGGTGGTCCAATAAGACCGGGCTCTCCCATTGGACACAGCAGAGGCATACATTCTGCATTCAGATTAGCATGGCAAATCAAGTTTTCACAAGTGGATGATTACCATAGAAAAAACAACCTGCTCATTGCATATACGTATTACTTACTACTACATCGTTCAACGGTTTCAAGAAACGAATCAGCTTGTCGTACAGTACGTATAGTACGACCAGTGATTTGCTTGGCATGTCTTATTTCAATCCACAGAGCCGAAGATTTCCTCTGAAAATTCTTACCAATTTGAAGTATAACAAAATTAGCTTGGATGTCTATAAAAGCCTCGATGATATATAACGACGGATTTTCCCGCAACTTTCCTTCTCCTTTCCCTTTTCGTTTAATCTTTATGCCTTAAATTCAATCTTAGTTTCATCATACATATGTGAGAGAATGCTAAACTAGAAGCCTTTAACTAGAGATAGTGTCGCTTCAGTGAGCTTAAGCTATCTATTTATCCAGTCTATCTGTATCTAGGGTAAGTGTAAGATAATAATCGGACTAGGCTAAGGTAATTATAACTGGTAAACCTAAACGTCAAAATGAGCACTCTCTTTCAAGTTGTGTTCATCCATGGCTAGGTGTAACGTGTAATCGCTAATATCAGATAAATGAGTGAAAAGATATCATTTCGGTTTCTTTTTTTGAATTTATTTCTAATTTTCAGGAACCTTAAATGATTCGGCACGTAATTCCGCTTCCAATCGCGTCAAACTTGTTTTTCGTTGTATCACTGCAGCTGTCAAAAGCAGAGTAAATAACGTTAACACCGATGTTGTAATAGTAGCCAAGCCAAGTATGAAGAAACGGTCTTCGTTAGTAATGAGTGTAATCTGTCAGTAGAATAATTAATTATGTTTTGTAATTGGACATCAACTCTAATTTTATTTCAAAGTGAAAGATAAAAGTAACTTTCATTTGCATAATAATATGGTTTTTAGAAATTATGAAGAAATCTTTCATAGTATAACATTTGCAGTAAACTTGTTAATATGATGAAATCCACGTCCTGCAAAAGATACGAATCAATTTATACGCAAATTTCTGGATTTTTCAGGATTTCTTTCAAAGATTAGAAAACTGTACTGGATAAACTTGCCTTTGGACTAAATTATCAATTTACTAGGTTTTATAATTTGGAAAATTTACTTTAGGCCGTTCAATAATTAACTTGACGAAGTGAATACCTCTCAAGCTTCTGCAATATCCTACAATGGTTGATCGATCAATGAAAGGTTCAGATTTTCATCTATTCATCTTTCTCTCTCATTTTACGATAAATTTAATAGATAATATTTATTCGCACATTAGCTTCTATTTTCGCTGGCTATCAAATGATGCTTACGAGTTGATAGACCAATGAGTTCCAGCTATTTTAAGAAAACTCAAAGATTATCACAAATATTTACGAAAGAAGAAAATATCAGTTAGTATTTGTTAGTAATTTATATAAGTGAACAAAAAATATGGTAAACAAATCGAGGAATATGGTAACGATACAGTCATTCATATAGTACGTAGTACAGACAGATTACAAATAGCAAAAAGTTGTAGCGAAACCGATCAACGTCTTTTATTTTAGCAAGTGTAGGCTGTAAAACGAAGAGAATAATTTTATAAAGAAAAATGTAAAAAGTAAGTAAAGATAACTGATTTCACTCTCAGGAGATTGTTCTGTGGTTTGACTTAGGTAAAAATAGTAATTAAATACAGAAACAATTCGTATCATTAAGATAACTTGGTCATTTAGCTCCTTATGGCCTCCATTAGTTTCTGCATTGATCGTATTCCTATTGAATATACCTAACACTATATTTTCTTTAACCATTCTGCTTTGGCTTATCTGGAAAAATATACTTTGTAATGTAAATCTAGATATGTTTGTCCGCGATTGTATTTAAACGCCAACTTCGGACGTAGTGCCCGAAGATGGTGACATGAGTTGTATGATGGGATGGACTTTTGAACTTCTTGATTCTATGATGTAGTACCTGTATTTGATACAAGCATTTCTCTACAATACATAATCGTTCAAATATCCATTTACTGATTAATTAGAAGATTTCATTGAGTCAATTAATCTATTCAAGTTCAACAATTCATCTTTTCAGAGCAATATTTCCGGAAAATTCTTTCTCCATTATTTTGTCTGCCGGTTTATTAAACTTGATCCGTCTACCGATATGAATCTCACTCCATCAATCTTTGATAACAGAAGAGAGGCAATTTACAGTTTCAGTTTCAGTTGTGGTGGTTTCTGAATATCATCATGTTACTAGAGTGATACTGTATGCAAAATGTTTCATTTTTTTCGAAATACAGAAATTGATAAGAGCTGTGTGAAAGCGTCATAGATAAAACAATTATTAGTTTATAGAGCTTACGGCTGACGTCAAACTATCTACAACCTGCGAATCATTTAATAAATTTGAGGGAAGTACTAAAATGTTTTTCATGTCCATAGCATTTTGGAAAACATTAGCTAACAGTGTAAGATGAAAACACTATCTTTTCATTTCACTAAAACTAAAACACAAGCATCACACCTGCGTAAAAATGTCAAAGAAATATGCAAAAGTAGATAATGTGCTTATTGTTTGCTTAAACTATTTACTGAGTTTCTCAGTAGTTTTGTGACATCTGCATTTTAACATTACATGATCAACCCGTAATAGACAAGGAATAAGTTCCTACGACCTCACCAAAGTTTCAAGAATAGAATAATTTTGAAGTTATGATTGATTACATGTCAAATATTAAGCTCACTTCTTCTATCCATCATATTTTATCAAAATTGTAAATGAATCCAACTTTCTGAATCAGCAATGTTAGAAGTTTATCTTAATTAAACACTTTATAGTAGAGAATAAGTTGGATTTTGAGTTCGGATTTCTTTCTTGTGTTAATCGTTCTCGCTTAAACTCAGTATTTCCTTTTGATTCTTTTAATCCACGATATAGCAGGTCAGATTTTCTTATATACTTTATTCCTTGAAAATAAAGAGCTATGATGTTCAAAATTTTTCAAAAATGTCCATAACATTGTTTTTAAGATGGGAGTGGGAAAATTGAGGACAAAATTCATTGATAATTGAAAAAATAAACAAATTTTTGAAGCATTAGACATAGGTCTGTAAAAAGAACGTAAAAATTTGTGCGCAAGTTAAAGATGTAAGCATTTGAAGGGATTTGTCCTTTCCTGATCCGTATTATTGGAAGAATTTAGGTGATCTCCGGAATTCACATTGAAGAAGTCGATCGCATCTTCTTTTTAGTTGTAACAGCAAAAATACAAATGATCAATCATTCATCTCATTTTTAAGACTACTTTAAGTGCTGTATAAGTGCCATTGCAGTGTCATTAGTTGCCATTACAAGTTATCAGCGGTATGTGATAAGGATATGTTATGAAATATCAACATTAATTACCCACCCTGTAATGAAATTTTTCTTGGCCGATATGTCGTGAATAAGAGATAGATAGCTTTCTCTCATATCAAACTTTTTGTTTCATAATATTAAGGATACTGTAGTATCATTACATTAGACAGCTGCCTTTTTATCACCGCCAATCAGTTATCATAAAACAAAATTCGAGGTCATCGGGATTGACTCAACTTTACTCTCAATCATCGCTTCATCGTACACCATTGAAAAGATGTTGCCAAAAAAGGGGCCAATTAAAGACTAATTAACCCACGTTGATATCTCAAATGGCCATGGTAGAGTTTGGAACTATAAGAAAAGCAAATAAGATGTGGCGAAATTTTTTTCTTTAAGACTAAAATTAAAGTCAGCGAAGTTTGAAACGATACTTACTAATAAGTTCAACTTAGTGACTCTATCAGAAAGTCATTAATCATATAAAAACGTCACACATGTCGTTCAGAGGAATGACAGCTTGAGTGATTTAAAATTGACAAATGATCTTAACCAGATAGACTTATTTATCTAGAAAACTGGATTCTTTGTGCCATAGCCATTTAATTTGTTGTGATCCTTTGTCATTACATCATCATTTTGCGTCACAAGCTCAAAAACAGCTGTATAGGATGCTTGCGGATTACATATGTAATGATTGCGGACCATGATCATTGGGCAAATGTAATGCTTGCTTTTTTCATCAGCATTTCATCTAATAATTGCTTGACCAAAAGGGATCACATTTTCTAGCCTATGTTTTAATGAAGTACGTGAAGTTAGAATTCCAACAAGTTCTCTATCAAAAAAGTACTTTTCAAGCAGATATAATCCGTAGTGTCTTATTTCGTCATCATCGTACTATACGATGATATGAAGTGGGCAACGATAGTAAAGAAAAGGTATGATAAACGATGTTATCCATTTTTGACCGTGACATTTTTCCACTGATGACCAGTAGACAGCAATGAAAAAGTACTTCCAGATGTCCGCATTATAAAACATTAGTGTAATAAAAAAGGGATTCACGTGATAACGTAATATTGTCTGATGTTGGCATAAGATCGGTCGTCTGTGTCAATTAAAAAATAAAAAGGGATGAACAATCATCGAAAATTGAGAAAACTGTTTATTATCTCTTCCCATCTTGCTAAAAGGAATCTGATAGGTTTTTGATGTTGATTTTCCAAATCTCGGATTCAGATATATTTTGAGTTAGATGGCTTCTCGATACTGATAGAAATTGATGACATTAGAAATCAAATTGGAAAGGTTTCGAAACATTCATCTAATAATTCTTAAATATATGTTTGTAAAACATAATATATGTAAATATATTAAAATACATTGTAATATATAATATAAAATATATATCATAATATGTATTAAAATATAATATGTATTATGATACGTATTAATATATTATAATATATATTTTATATTGCAATATATAATATTATAATATATAATATATAATATTATAATATATAATATATATTTACAATATATAATATATGTTTATATAAATATATGGTTCCAAATATATGCTTTTTGTTCAAATATATGTTTTCATAAAGCTAATATGTAAGTGAAAATATAGGTCAATATTTTGCTGATAATTCTTTGATAACTGAAGCAATCATTTTGAAAATGTCGCAAAAATAGATTTGTAAACTACTTAGGGACTTTCTAGATTTGTTTTCGAGACTTGGAGTAGATTTTTCAACATATTGCAATTTTATGAGACAACTTATTGTAGTGATGGAGAATCGTTATGATCATTCAGTGTTAATGTAAAAGCATACAAAAGCACAAAAACTACTTTTGCTGTCAAATGGTGGTAAACTCAACTAAGCAAACAGCAGATATTTGGTTGTCAAAAATGGATAAATATTTTGTTAGCTTTAATTTGCTTGAAATAAAGCTATAGAATCCAAATCTTGCTATCGCATTATTTCTATCATGATAGTGATAGGAATATTGCTATATGATAGGTCTCGTCAAAGACGACAATCAGGGATGGAAAAAAATCATCACATTTTGAAAAAAAGAGTCCTGGAAAAAATTTTAGCAGAAAATTTGAACCATTTCTATATTCAACAAAACATTCTGGTTAGATTTACTTAACAGTTACTTGACTTAAATGAACCTTGTAAATGATAACAAATTCATTAGCTGTGTCGTATGAAAAAGATTACTTGACAAATTCAGAATCATTTCCATATATCATTTGGTGGCATATGAAACTATGTCACCTGAATAAAATCTGAAGATAAGAAATATGCCATTGCAAATACTATCATTATATGTCAACTAGGTATTGAAAAAAAAAGAAAGATTGAGAAAAAAGTTCTTCAGATTTCCAATTCATTAGTATTTTAATATTGTAGAAATTTTCATTTATTAATAATTATTTTCGATATCAATCCATCATAGTTTGAACTGTCAATAGTTATTCCAAATTCAGTCAAAGCACATTTAAGTTTTTGAATAAATTTTCGAGCAAAAAGTCAATGATGAGATCAATTATTCAATGAGTTTTTATCAACCTCAGCGCTATTTGGATATCGTCTGTTCTTTTACGCTTTCCCCTCAAAATCGTTTCGCTTTTTGGCGAATTTCATGGTTATCTAATAAACAAAATAGATTTTTAACAGATGATATCTCTTGAACTTTAAAAGAAGCGAAATAGCAAAAGAATTTTCATTTTACATGTGAATAGGTGGTTTAGGAAAATTCCATATGTGTCAAAATAAACTTTGTAAATCCAAATGGGCTTCATTCTGGGAGACGTCTAAATCACTGTATAATAGACCTTATCGATTGATATTGGAAAAAAGTTGTGAGAAATTCTAATTCCAATTTATACGGGGAGAAAGATGGAAAGCCAACATACTCTGATCAATATTTTCGGATAAATGGATTGAATCTCAATCAAGTTTTAATGCAAACATAAGTTCGAAGACCGATATTTTCTTTGAAAATAAAGTTACAAATGGCTTGTCATCCAGTTTAATATTCAGAAAAAGCTTTTAGGATACAATTTGAAATCGAAGAAGTTAACCGTTTTTGGCAAATGAATTTTTCAAAAATGTCATTGAAAAAATTGAATTTTTGACAAATGTCATTCGCCAAAAAACATTCATTTAATTAATAAATTCCTCAATAGATTGTTAAATGAAGTTTTCCGGATTAAATTTTTTTTTCAGAAGGGTCAAAAAACGAACCTTCATGGTGAAACTATATCGGAAGATCAGTAATGTGTAATTGTCCACTACTGTCCACTACACTTGTCGTATTAAGTGGCTGATGGATACGAAGTGACCTAATTTCAGACCAAAATGACCAACAAACTTGGACTGGTCAATTTCTTGAATCTCCACTCTATTCCCATGTAATCGTTCTCTTATCGTCGAGATAGACTGTTGATAATCGCAATTACTGAATGGCAAGAGACGATTTATCCGCTAAATACGAACAACATTTGTTGAAAATTTAGGGATGAAATAAATTTACTGAGAATGTGACAGTCAGTTTCTTGCCATTCAGTAATTTTGTTCACATACTTTTGCCGTAATCAACTCAACAATAATTATGATCAATTAAATTTCAATCAGGAAAAAGAATTTGAACAACCAGAAGTAAATAAAAGTTGGGATAGTTTTTCCAGTTATATGTGAGCTGATGGGATACGATGCATGGTGGCAAAAAGAGAAAAAATAAATTTTATGCAGAAAATTATCTTCAGATATCTCACTGTTTCAATTCCCACAAATTTTTTCACATTTTTTCTCAATTTCAGTTTTCAATTAACATCCATGGCATTAAAATCAGTGAAAAATTTAACGAATAGTGAAGACTTAGCAGTTTACAAAACGAAAAGAATAAGGAAATTAAAAAAGAAGGAAGAAATTTTATTTGATATTGAATTTGAATGGCATCAAGATTTGAAAATATTTTCAAATATTCGTACTTTAATCAGACATGTATACGATCTAGTGTCTCGTCTGTCGGCAAAATAGTTAGTTCATATATATTGGCAACCTAAACTTACCGTTAAATTTCGATCTAACAGTTTACCTGTAAATAAATCGGTGAAATATTTTGCAATCTCTTATCACCAAATAAAAAATATCAATTTCCAAAATTTGTGTAACATAAGCAAATGAATGGATGTCGAAAACGTATGATAAAATTTAAAGAAAAAAATTAACTGTCCATAAAGTAGCTATTATGCTTATCCAGAATCACTCCGCTAATTCGCAAATGTCGCGTAGCGCAAATGTCGTGTGTGTCGTTTACCAATTACGCATTGTACTGTAATGTATAACGAATGACGTGATAACAGGATAATTTATCATTTCAAATTTTATTTAAATCATGAAATTTGTAGTATACAGTTTACGACTTGACTGTAAATGAAGTAAATGACAAATATGATAAATATTTATGATGAAAGAACGCGAATGAAAAATGTTCTTTTGTATTTGGATGTCAATCTTGTGCGATAAGTATATTTCTATTTCGGTTAAAATTAATCGCATAATTAACATAAGGACGTATCTCATATTTACTTTCGCAATCAATATTTAGTGTTAATAGTTTGCATTAAACAGCTTCAACAATTCATTTGAATCAAGATTTAATTTAAAATCACTTTCGAAATCAAATACATTCCCATAATTTTTTTGATGCCAGACATTCGACATTCATTCATTTGCTTATGTTACACGAATTTTGGAAATTATGATATTTTTTATTTGGTGATAAGAGATTGTAAAATATTTCACCGATTCATTTATAGACGGATAGTTGGTGAAATCAAAAACCAGATACTGAATACAAATTGAATTTACCAAAACGGAACCAATGACTAGTTAAGTTTTCAAGATACTTCAATTGATGTTGCTTCACCACCAACTACAACATGAACAATCATTTCACTGTCATTTCACATTCCATAATTAACAGCATTCTTTTGCTATTACTAAATGTTGTCAACCTTTTTCTTTTAATAAATTAATTGTCCCAAGTTTACAAAACTTGCGGAATGTCTTGTCACTTCACAAATTTCTCAAATTCCTTAGTAAATGATTAAAATAATGTATGTAAAAACTTAAAACCCAATCTTTAATTTGGAAAGGAAGCAATTATATCAGATTGACAAATTTATTTTCATTTAATTTTCCTTTTGGCTAATTAATCTTGGAAAATGGTTCAATTAGAGAAAAAAATATGTTTTAATAAGAATCAAATTATTTTAGCAATTATATCTCAAGAATGAATGATTTTAATCTTCGATTTAAATATTTTTATATTTCAATGGTATCTTCAAGTTCGAATCATATAGCGGTCTTATGTGCATGTAAATGTACAAGCAATATGATAGGACAATAAGAAATGATGTTAATTAAATACAACACTCATTTAGCTGCTTGTAATTGCCAAATTCAAATTGTATGTCATAAAACATGACATGAAGTAGATTTCTCTTCCTTTCAAGTATTATTTAGTTGTTTAGTAAAAATGCTTTATGCACAAGTCACACAATTTGAAGCTTTTAATTACGAGATTTTGAGTTCTTTTTTTTCGCAATTGCATCATTTTCCATCACTTTTAATCAGTAACTAAGCGATAACCACAACTTAATGAATGCAATTTCAATCGAATTGATAAGATCTAACGAAACATCCTGAAGTTTGCAAAAATTCTGGAACTTAGTTCTGCTGAAATTAATTTTATGCCTAAATTACTAGTTCAAAATACTGGTTTTGCGGAGACAATATAAGTGTCAAATGCAATACAATCTTAATTATTAATAACTAGTGGTGGTTTCTAGAGTACCAAAGCGACCATTTTTTTTCTGGTTGCGGAAATGCCACGTGGTGCAAATGTCGCGTGGACCAGATATCACGGCACAGCTTCGAAAATAAGCAATGCTAACTTTCTGATTCATAAATTACTTGCGTTCAGCTCTTTTTTGACCGTTGAGCGCAACTTTTTGATCACTGAATGCTGTTTTTTGACCATTTACTGCTTATTTTTTTACCATTGAGTGCTGAAAAGCTGAACAAATTGATAAGTCAAGGAAGTCAGCCCATTTAACATACAACTGATTTGTTTTTTTTATTTTATCCCGCACTTTTAACATTTGCTTAACATTTGTCAGGCAATCTTTTTCAGCTAAAAAAATTGTGGGAAATTTGATAGTGCGGTTGAGCACAGTGCTGGAAATATTGCGTTTCTAAGTTTCATTATCGATCCGAGAATATTTTGAATTGAATTCTTGAAGACGAGTTCGTAAACAGAGGGAGGGGATGAAAAATATCTGATCATTTATCAAAAATATTTGCACTTAGAGTGGTGTAATTTTGATTGCCATAGCTACCTCATTAGTTGAAACTTGCCTTGTCCTATTTTGTTACTCATGAAAACTAATCCAACAACAAAATTTGTTTTTCTTTCGCCTTTGTCACTCTGACACCCTTGTCTATCTTTCTGCAGCAGTTACCTGAATTACCTCTCTGTCGTGAAAACGAGCCT